TACTCTATTTTACTCATCGCTATATTGAGCATTCAATCTGTTAATCCTATGGGATGACTAATCCAATGGTGAGAATATTTGTCTCTCATCAACCAAGCAGGTAATACAAAGCGATCCATTTATCCCTTGTTGTGTTCTACGAGTATTCATTTGTACTGGCCTTCCATTTCTACTGCATGATAGCAAACTTATCCGATAGTAGGACCGACTTTAAGGTTTCCGTGATGTATATGGATGAAGGTAATGATTGATAGATGCCGATCGCATAGAAGGCACAACGATTGCATTTCTCCTCCATTTATGGCACTAATACTGGAAAACCACAATTTGTATGGGCTACGATAGAGTAATTAGTGGCTACACAGCAAGATAGTAAGGATGACGAAGAGAGTGTGGGAACGATGGCTATTCAATATGGACCATGCTGATTCATCTCTTTCTCTCTTCCGTCTATTTCTATTTATTTATTTATTTAGTCAATTATAATCGCAAATAGAAAGACATTCCAACGAAATGATGGAGATGGGTGGTCGCATTTGAATACATGGACAAAAGAATAAATTAACATGAAGGATGAAAATGTTTTTGTCTTAATCCATCATGCAGCACATTTGACATTTTGATTCCGCTATAATTGAAATGGAAATGTCAACTGTAGCAAGCCATTGCTAAGGGATTGATTGTTGCCATCTTATGACGTCTATTTCAATTGATCCTTTCTACAGTCTATTAATAATCGATCGCCGGTATCAATAAGATTATTTATCCATTATTCATCGGATTGATTTCCATCAACCAGTCAGAACAGATTCTAACGGCCATAACGATTATATTTGCTTAGTTTTGCTGCTAATACTTTTGTTCTTTCCCTCATCTTGAGACAGAATGGATCAACAGTCAACCAAGACAATATTCGGCAATATTGATGAAACAAGACGCTCAGTGTATATATATACATAATGATGTCTATGTACAAGAGGAGAGAGACAAAAATAATATGAGTATCCATTTCTACTCTCTGTTGATAGTAAGCCATTTCAATGTTTCTCCTTCCTTACGGTAGCAAGATGCAATTGAGGTCTACCTGAACGATTTTTCTAGTTCTATATAAAAAAGATTGCCTATGGATTGCCATGTTCTCCATCATTAATAGCATTGTAGTATTTTTGTAGTTGTAGTCCAATGAAATAGTAGTTATTGGGCTAGCTAGGGATTATTGTAGCCTACAATACAAGCTACATGTTGATATTCCATGTCGACTTTCCATGTCACAACAAGATAATCCTTTCCTAGAAAAGAATGAAACCAGCTTAACGTGATACAAACCCTTCCATCATCTCTCATTTCCCTGCTAGCTGAAAGCAAAAACCATCGATCAGTAGGATCCATTTATATTCATTCCCTTATTTTCTGAGTCATGACTCATGCGATCCAACTTTCATAAAGCAAGAGAGAAATGATTCAAGCGGTAATAAATAAGACTACCACTTTCTCTCTCCTTTTTGAATTCATTCTTCTCACTCAACATGGCAATTGTTGATGAAAATTTTAGTAGAAAAGATAGGTAGAAAAGATGAGTAGAAGGATAAATAGTAAGGATGAAATTATCCTTGATCCATTCATCTTTCAATTCCGATAACAAACCCTTAAAGGAATAAAATCAATTACAACATGGCAAGGCTAATCTTTGCCTAGATAATATCCCTTGGATACCAGCATCGAGAAAGGGATTCTTCGTTATACGATGGCGTAATCGAGTTATTATGCTTGCTGCCCTCCTTGCTCATGGTTGAGCGGCAAGGATAAGGGTATATTTCATAAACAATGTCATTAGAAGGGTTGTCTACTTCAGAATTGAATTGAAATTACTTCTTATTTTGCTAAAATGACATGGACCATATCATTCAAGCAATCATGAAATCACCAGGAGGTCTACTTAGAAGATGAAGGTGTTGCTTGCCAATTTGCCATTGCAATCAGTAGCCATGTTCTCTGTAGGTAGACAATGTTAACCCAAGGTGGTCTAAAGCCAAATCAGACTTTGAAATTCATCCTCCATTCTCTCCTTCCTTTACCCCCGCTCTCTTTCTTATTCTTCCTCCAACTTTTGTTTAACTTGAGCCAAGGTTAGCCATTGTTCTTTCCTCCTTTTCCATATTGATTATAATTTTATTGACAATAAGGGAAAGAAAAGAAGCCTGTAGGAGATGAGAGTGGATGTTTGCGCGATCTTTTCTCCGTAGAAGAATAACTAGACTAGGCTAAAGGACTTGTAGTAAGTGTCTAACCTGACAGTTTCCTCAGCCAAGAATGTGTTGAATACTGTCCTGATTGGCATAATATTGAATTAAATTATTCCATTAGCATCTCCTCTCTTACTCACTCATTACTTACCAATTGTGTTGATTTAGACGCCATTGCTATTTTTTTCTGACTGCATATCCAACGAGTCTCTTCTATCTACAATTGGATTAAACCGTCTAAAACATATTGTCCAATCATCTTTTCAATACTATTTCAATCTTTGGACAGTAATCACCATTAACTCCAAGTTATTTCTGTTTTATTTCTTTATTCTTATTCTTACTCTCTTATTATTTAATTAGCTTGAAATTACGCGTTTTGAATGTGTCTCTTCCAATAGTATTAGCTACATTCTTCTTTTTTCCTCCTATTTTCAATATTATCAACGTTACATTTATTAATGCTTCTGGTAATGATATTGAAATAATATTGAATGTTAGCAAAAGACAGACATCGTTAAATTAAAGAAGAGAGAGAGAAAGGCAGGAGAAGAAAAAAAAAAATTACGCCTAAAGTTAATTTCTACTTTTATCGACGCACCGGATACAAAACATGGTTCAACTCTTGGTGGCTTCTAGCAACTCTATACTGCTGTCTCAATGAAGTAAAAAGAAAAAGCCATTACCTATCTCTATTCTAATTATTGAAAGAAAGAATTGACAGCCTTTTAATCTTTAGTTAGTCAATATTATCCGAGACAAGACCCATTTACTGGTTATTAATAAATACAGCGTCTCTTGCCTTCTATTCTCTATTGCTCATCCAAGAAGAAAGAGGAATCGTTTGTCGATTGATTACTTGTCCATTTGGCCCTAATGAGGGCTAATTGAAGTCGTCCAATCCTTCAATATTATCCTTATCTACTCTTCTTTCTACTTCTAATTTAGTCCTAAGCAGAAACTACTTCAACTATTACTACACAGCTTACAACCATCTCCTCTCTTTTTTTCTCCAAACCATAGTCGCATTACGATGGCGGCATGGTATGGTTTAAACTCGTAACAGTCCATCTTTGGATTATCACCTTTTCTTCAATTTTTCTTATCCATTGTTGAAAGGAAAAGGGGGAAAAATATTCATTTTTACACGTAGTAGTTAAATTGTAGTGGTTAACCTTGGTTTTCAACGACTTAGTCAAGAAAAAAAAATTGTAGTAATCCAAGTTCAAGTCTCTATTCTTTCAAAGAAGGAAAATCCTCACAAAATTTCTATTCAAGCCAGAAAGAACATTGTAGCAATATTGTATACTTTAAAGTCTTCATTTCATTCAGGAAATAGATTACAATTCACTATTTTATCCAAATCATTAACGAAAATGAAATTTAACTGTTAATTTGCTGTAACAAATCCATTCGTCCAGTTAGAAATCATTTCCAATTCGATCGTAGTTTATTCAACAAGCCGGCCAGCATCAAAAGCTTTGCTTACTACAACAACGCCAATCTTGGCCATTAGTGAAAAAGAAGAATTTCAACTCCACGACACTTCCTTTCAAAGTCAATCGGTAAGTCAGTAAAACTACAGTTAACCAATTTTCTTTTCTAACTCTTTAGCAACACAAACTCCTGCAGCGATTCAAAGTGTAGTTAAACAGCTTTCTCCTTTTTCTTATATTTCTAATCAATCCTATTGATCAAGCGTGGTAGCCATCAATTTTGAAGTACTACTCTACTTTAACAAGCAATTAGTGAAATTGATTTCAATAAGAAAATTAGCCCATTAATCCATCGTTGATTATTGCCCATCTAACCTTTGATCGTTGTTCCATTTGTGGTTGTAGAGAATCGATTACTTGCAATTGTACCGCAAAAAATCGCTGCATTAATTGAATTGGCTATTACTAGTCAATCACGCAATCCATTTGATGTTAAAGAATAGTACGGGCTTTTCAATTGCTTCTCATCGGCATCTTGTTAAAAGAAATTGAAGACAACGATATAGAAAGGTAATCCAATTACTCAATAAAATTCTTCAATCGATGGACATGGAGCATACTTGTCCCTCATTCAAATCGACTAACGTTAGTTTTCTCATCATTTTTCCCCCCAGACAATATTCCGGAAAAATAACGGTCAAGGATCAATATTTCTTTCATGGTACAGTAATCCAGATCTATTCTACACTAACTGCCAAGAAATAAAGAAATCCTTTACTATTTCAACCCTCTGTACGCCATTTTTTGTTTTTTCTTATTTAAGCCGATATTTACGTCGTCTTCTCCGTCTTGAATTGGAATCATCTTTTACCCATCACTCTATTCTTTTTATTAATTTATCCTCTTTTGGAATTCTAATATGGCAATAAAAATATCAATTCCTTTCTTACCACAATCCGGTGGCTATCGTCCAATCCATAGTCAAACTATTCCATTGGTCATAAAACTCTTTTATTTATTCATCCTTTTAACCAGTTGTGGGCATCATCACAGCAGTTTAGCCCAAGTCGTTACTTCATTTAATGTTACCGATGGAAGTGCTCAAAATCAAGCCATTGGCTGCATTGGCGATGCTCGAACTAATTGCAATTATGCCATTAACCAACAAAGTAGCAGTTATGCTAGTTATTTCCGATTTAGCGACACCAGCAATGGCTGCTTAATTACCAATCGTAGTATTGATCGAGAAAATATAGCCACCTCGAGCATCACCTTGAAAATTGCTCGATATTGTAGCGGTTCAAGTGGTGCAGATCAAATATTCGATATTAACATCCGTGTCCTCGATGTCAACGATAATCCTCCACGATTTCCATCTTCTCGCTATATCGTCAATATCTCAGAAAGTGCCAATGTCGGTGCCGATTATCATATTGGCCAAGCTAGCGATGCTGATCCAGATCATGGTGCTATCCTCTATCATATCGTCTCTGGCAATGAAACTGGCCACTTTAACTTAATTACCAAAGGTGATGTTTTATATCTCCAACTGATTAAGAAATTCGATCGAGAACAACAATCGTATTATGCAATCAACATTTCAGCAACCGATAGCCAAAAAAATCAATATGTCGGTTATACACGATTAGATGTTTATGTTTTAGATATTAACGATAATGCACCAAAATTTCAACAAGCTTCCTATCAAGGAGATATTCTCTCTACAGCATCGATTGGCACTTTAATCGTAACTGTTCATGCTGAAGATAGTGATGATGGCCAATTTGGTCTAGTTAGTTATGCCTTTAAGACAGTACAAAATGATTTTAACATCAATGCTACCACAGGTGCCATTACTCTTCGACGCCAGCCAACACAAACATCGTATACTATCGCCGTGACTGCTAGCGATCATGGCCAACCGAGCAATACTCAACAAACGATCGTCAGCATTAAAGTCATTAATCCCAATGCTATTACATTAAATATTCAACCTTTTCCATCAGGATCGATTGCTTATGTCCCTGAGAATAGTGTGGATAGAGCCTTAGTTGCCTTTGTGACAACTATTTATAACCAAGCAGATGTAGAAGGACCTGTCCATGTCAATATTACTGCTGGTAATATTGGCCAGGTTTTCCAATTAGATGCTCGAGAAAATCCTGCCTTGGTGATTAACGTTAAACCATTAGATCGGGAAAATATCAGCCAGTATCAATTAACCATTAACGCTACAGATAGTAAACATCCCAATATTATGTCTAGTGGGATATTAACCATCCAAGTCACTGATGATAATGATCATCAACCCCATTTTCAACGTTCTGAATATTCTGCTCTTCTACCTCAAAATAGTCGTGGTGGAGTATTTGTCCTACGAACGTTAGCTTACGATAATGATACTGGTAGCAATAGTCAATTACAATATCAGATCTTAACTGGCAATAACGATTTTGCTTTTCAAATCGATCAGCAGGGTAATATCTTAATGAATAAATCATCCAATGTCCCTTTGCAAATTGGCCAAGTGCGAAAATTAACAATCGATGCGACTGAAAATGCAACATCGGAGCGATATTCAGCTACCTCTCAAGTCACTATTTCTGTTGTCGATCCTTCTACTATTCCATTACCAGTATTTAATGCTACCCAATATCAAGGACAAGTTAATGAATCAAGCCAGCCATCGACCTATATCTTAACTGTCTATGCAACGCTATCGCAAGGAAGTCAAAATCTACCTCTATACTATCATCTGGTTGAATCAGCTGTTCCATTTCAACTTGATACACTAACTGGAGTATTAACTTTGAAATCAACGATCGATCGTGAATCCATCGCAAGCTATACCTTAGCAGTTTATGCTGAAAATAGAAATAATCAACCGACAATTACATCGACAACGCAAGTTATTATTACAGTAACCGATAGCAATGATCATCGGCCAATTTTTCAACCACAACATTATTCAACCAAGATTGAAGAAAATCAACCTAGTGATACTTATTTAACTAGAGTTTATGCTTACGATCAAGATGCAAATAACACTATTCATAGTCAAATTCGATACCAAATTAGAAATAATTATCAAAATCGTTTCAAAATTAATACAACATCGGGTGCTGTTATGACTGGTAAAGTATTAGATCGAGAAGATAGCCAAGGAAGTACAAGTTATACGCTCATAATTGACGCTATGGATGGTTTAGGATTAAAATCAACAACACCTGCAACTGTCCTTGTAACTATCTTAGATGTTAGCGATAGTCCAGTTTACTTTCAACACAATCAGTACAATTATCGAGTAATTGAAAATGCAACTATTGGCACTGTTGTAGGCCAAATTCAAGGAAGTACAGCCGATATTAATGCAACATTAACATATCAAATTGCTGCTGGTAATATTAATTCATCCTTTCAAATCAATTCAACAACTGGAATTATCACTGTTCATCGATTATTAGATCGCGAAAAATGGCCTAGTTATACACTTGTTATTACTGTTGCTCATCAACAACAGCTAAGCCAAACCAACCAAACTCAGGCTATAATTATCGTGGATGATATTAATGATCATGGCCCTAAATTTACATCATCTCATGCTAGCATCAACATTAACGAACAAATTCAAGTGGGTAATATAGTTTATAGCGCTCGAGCTCTCGATCACGATACAGGCTCTAATGCTAAAACTATCTATCAGTTGTTAAATGATGCTCAAGGCCGATTTACAATTACCAGCGATGGCAATGTTACCTTGGCTAAATCGTTAACTACGAGGCCTATTACTACCAATACTTATTGGATTACAATATTAGCTGAAGATGCTAATATCAATTGGCCTATTACGCCATCATCCAAGCTAAATTTGACTATTCATATTATCCGAGTCAATCATTATCAACCTCAGTTTATAACTTATCCAAAAACACCTATCTATATTGCTGAGAATGCTACTGTAACTACTGTCTTAACGTCAGTTTCTGCTCAGGATAATGATACTGGTCCAGATAGTCAAATTCGATATCGCATAGCATCACAAAGTAATTCCCAAGGCGTTTTTAAGATTGATCAAAATGGCCACATTTCCATCGCGAAAGAGTTAGATCGTGAAAAAACCTCCCACTATAATCTAACTATATTAGCCATGGATAGTGGAAGCCCTGTTTTAAATACGACAATCATCGTTTACGTTGTTGTAACAGATATCAACGATAACAAACCAATTTTTGATCCATCCTCTTATACTATTACTCTTACCTCGACTACACCAACAGGATCATCGGTTGTTACTGTCAAAGCAACTGATGCAGATCGAGCACCAAATAGTATTCTAAGCTATAAATTAGTTAGTAATGCTATATCCAATCATTTCAGTATTGATTCAACTACTGGCCAAATTACTTATGTTGTGCGGTTTAATTTTACCATCATTCAACAATATCAACTTGTTGTTATTGCTCAAGATGGAATTGGTCCTCTTGCAAAATCGACTTCAGCCGTACTTCACGTTAACGTAGCATCTCAATTTAGTAGTTGCTCTCCTAATCCTTGCTATAATGGCGGGACTTGTTTCCTTCTTGGTGATTGGTTTCGATGCCAATGTACATTTGGAACTCATGGTGATCGATGTCAACATCATAGCATGGGATTTCAATCACTTTCTTATGGCATGCTACCAACTAGCATGATTAGCCAACAGCCTGCAACTACTACTATTTCTATTTCATTTTCTACCTTGCAAAGCAATGGGTTACTGCTGTATACGTATTCAGTGCAAAATAGCGACTATTTAGTTATCCAAATTATCCAAGGTAAAGTTCAATTTGCATTTTCTCTTGAAAACGGTAATACAGCCAAGCTTACAGCAAATACGGTTGTTAATGATGGTCTTTGGCATCGAATTAGAGCTCACAGAATAGGTTTGGTAAGTCAAAATGGTTTAGAAACCGCTCTGTAGATGCTATTTTTTATAGTTTAAAATTTTTACCAAGTATTGCATCACGATCGAAATCTCTTTCCTTTACAAAACTAAGATTGGTGTACCAATTTAGAGTAATAGTTACGGTAGAAGTAGCTGTTTTATTTAATGATTAGAATTTTTAAACATAATTTTTTATGCCAGCTAATAAATCGTATAATTTTAATACCATTTTACTATTTACAGTAGCATAGCTGTTTTTACTTTACTTTATAGTTGATCTTTCTTATTACCGATTACATTTTGATGCTAGCCAATAATCGTATAATTTTGATGAAATATTAATAATAATTAGAGTAGTCTAAGTTAATTTATTTGGTACGGTATAAACTTATAATTTTAATAATTTTCCTATGTATATGTATCACTAGCCAACAAATTATTTCAGTTTGTCGCAATGTTAATAAAAAGAATGGTATCAACTAGCACAGTCGGAATGCGATATATAAGCAAAGCTTAGATTGTATGATTCCCTACTATTTGAAATCGCAGCTATGACGTAGAGTTAAATTTTTTCTTGACTTTACACGTTAAATAGTTGCTAACGTTTATTCTTAATAATTAGTACGGAGAATTGAAAGTTGATCAGTGTATCGATGGTTCTACTTCATCAACATGTTCTACAACCAATGGTAAAGCTCAAACTCCTAACATGTAAGTTAAAGGTAGTAAATGATAGTTTAAGTCTTCTGTTATTTTAAACTGTATTAGATATTTTTTATTGCATAATTTATCCTCCACTTTGCCATACAGTATTAATTAATAGTATTATTCGCATCTTTCTTATAAGTTATTCCTGATATGATAATAGGAACAGTCAATAACATTAATATCAAGATATGTCGATAATTTAAATTTATTGTGTAGAAAAAGTACATGCCATAGCTCTATGTAAAATCGTGATCACATCTCATATAATTCCATAGGGCGATCAAATATATTAAGTGATATTTAAGCAATTTTAAATAATGATTTTATGATTGTATCGATCGTTATTAGGGCGTTTAATCTCCAATCTGCTTCAAGTTATCTTGGTGGCATTCAATCTGTTAATATTTTAACTCAATATCCTACTCGTTTACATTCATCATCATTTATTGGATGTATGCGTAGCGTTCAAATCAATCACGCCGATATTAAGCGTCAAAATTTAACGCAATCTTCCGGAATCCTAGCAACATGTTTACGTCGATCTGTTTGTAGTCCAAATCCTTGTATGGATAATAGCCGATGCATCGATAATTGGTTTACTGCAAGCTGTCAATGTAGCCAAAATAGAACTGGAACATTTTGTAATCAAGGTACAATGCGCTCAATTTCATTATTGCTTAGAGAAACTTTATTCAAGATCTCCATCTTTCTTTTAAATGCTAATCCTATTAATTTAGCACTTTATTCTAATACGTAGAATCAATATACAATAATTTTTTAGGGCTATTTATAGTTAATGTCTGTACTTAATTATCCTATTATCCATTTAAACACCACACTTTGTAATTCAGCTCATTTCTTGTCTAATTAACGTTTTGTATTACCTCTTGCTGTAGCTTCTAGAGGGATTACTTTGGGAAATAACGCTTTCATCAGCTATACTCTGAGTGCAGCCTATTATCGATCTCTAACAATCCAAAATTTAGTTAGCCCAATTGCTAGACAACGACAACGCAAGCGTGACCTATCTATTAATACTCAGAAAAGTCAAATTTCAATCAGTATTAGGACACGTAGATTAAATGGGATTATTTTCTACGCTACGGGTAAAACAAATTCAACTGTCTTACAGGTAAGATTAGTATCCACATTAAGTTTCAAAGTTAGTTTCTTTCACAGAGGTTGGTAGTTACATTGATTTTATCTTGATTTTTGATTCCATTCTATATTAGGTATACCTTGGCTTAATAAGATACTCTGTAATTGTCAATTCCACAACTCAAGGTTATGTTGAAGTTAATAAATTTGTTCATGATGGGCTCTGGCATACTGTCCAAGTGATAAGATACTCTAATGGAACTATTTCGTTGCTAGTGGATAATATCAAGAACAGCAAGCAATTTTCTCAGCCTACTCTAAATTTTTTAGGTATTGATTTAAAATCACTGACACTAGCCAATGGACCAAGTGGACAAATTCTTGATGGTGGTGTTATAACACCATTTTCTGGCTGTTTAAATAATTTAAAAGCCAACGATTATAGCTTGCCACTTAATACAGCGCAAAATTCAAGCCAAAATACAGTTTTTGTTCTATCTAGCCAGAGTAACGGCATTAGCCAAGGCTGCAATGGCAGCCCTGTTTGTGCATCATCACCATGCCCCAGTAATAGCAGTTATTGCCAAGATAATTGGGAAAATTATACTTGTGTTGATCTTGGTGCATGCCGATCTCGTCCGTGTAAGAATAACGCAACATGTATACCATCAAAATCATCGACTACCATGTTTACATGTAGTTGTTTAACTAATTTTACCGGTGAAGTATGCGAAACTGCGCTAGTTTGCCTATCATCGCCATGCTTACAAGGTACAACTTGTCAAGGCCGATCTGATGGTGGTTATGATTGCGTCCAACCAGGGCCTCAGAATCAGCCAGTACCGATTGCTTTAATATTAGCAATCGTTTTTGCGGCTATTTCAAGCATAGTGATTGCCATATTAATTTATATCGTTGTTAAGAAAGAAAGGCGCCGTCGGCGTCGAAAATCGAAAAAACAAACGCATTCGTTAACTGAAAATGATGATAATAATCCACTTGATCAAACCAATGAAAGTAATAATAATTATGGTAATAATGGTGGAATCGCTAATAAAGCATTTGTCGATAGTGAAAAAACTCAAACAACTGAAAATTCAAGAACAGACATTGGCGATCTTTTGGAAGATTCATGTAGTGATCCAGTTAAAGATAGTGAAAATGGCAATTTTACTGAAAGTGAAAATGAGCGTATGAATAAAAGTAACAGTAGTCATAGTTTACAACATGATATTTTAAATCGAAGTCGCGGCGGTAGAAAATCGAAGCCAAGTAGTGTTAAAAGTCTACCTGTTGAATCGTCTACGAAGCATCATCATAATCGGGATGCTAATACTCTTGATCAACACCATGCACATTATCCTACATTTCCACATCGTCAAAACAATGTCGAAATTGAAATGACTACACGAAATCCACCCATGAATAATAAGCAAGATGTTCGTAATCCTCATCGTCGTGGAATAATACCGAACAATAATGCTCATGTTGCACATCAAGCACCAATGACACAAGTTAATAATAATCATCATCCACACCATCCATTAAAGTTAACTGAGCCATTAGAACATTATGATCTCGATCTCACTAGCATTGATGGCGATGGCCTGTATGAAAGTGAATTAGAAGGGAGTATCCAAAATGGCCCTGTTCCCGCTCCTTACAAAGGTCTACGTTATGGCTATCCCAGTGGTTTATTACATCAACAATTTAATCGATTATCGACTATGCCAGAATCGGATGGTAGTATCATTGGTGAATTAGAAGCTGTCTCATCAACAAGCGATGAAGGCCCAGTCGATGATCCGCTAGATGATTTACTCGAGCCACCAAGTAGTACCGATAGCGATGGCGAACGTAGTGATCGCCATGAAAAAAGTTTCCACCTTCGCAAGATCAATTCACAACAAGGAGAATCTGATTCTTACAATACACTACAACGTGGCAAAGTACCACCCTATCGGCACAAGATGGAGAAAAAAGTAAATCCAATAGCTCCAACTAAAAAAGGAATTAGTGATAGCGAATTAAAGGGAAAACGAAAATTTAAGTATAGACCACAGGCTTCACCATTAACTAAAGGACCAGCTTCATCGGCACCTGTATCCAGTTATCCCGCTGTCAAGCGTAGTCTAGCCGATAATCAACAACCAATATTATCGCCACCAGCAGAATATGTATAAATAACGATGGATTATCATTATTTATAGTGTACACTTTTAGTTGTACTCCGTATTATATCGATGCATGGAGAACAGCTAACAAATTTAACTTTGCAGACAGCAGCAACTACTAGATAATTTGGATAGATGAGATGCAATAGCTGTTTCAATTATTATTATCCCACACATATATATATATGAAGTAGTAATTACGTAATGTAATATACGTATATTATGATAAAATCAGAACTGATGATAATTCTAATTCAAGTCTTAAAAGCTACGCGTAGTAAAACTAACTGTCAAGATCAAGATGCGAGAAAAAATTGCAAAAATGGGAGAAAATCATTCTGCAACAATATTGGCCAAACCGTCTTAAAGATCGAGTTAATTCTTAAAACTGAATGGATATTCTAATTACTTTCTAATCTTTTATTAAATAATAGACGAAAGACACAGCTACCTACCGATTTAAGGAGTAATGATACGTCTATACGTATTATTTACCAATGAATTTATAACAACAAAATCGACCTTGGTTTTCATCTCACATCAATCTCTCGTATCTATTTGTAAATTTTGGTCTACCATATATACTTCTAAGATGGATAAAGTTGAAAGCTCGATAAATTTGTAAAATACCTATGATCCAAAGTGAAACTAACTACAGTAAACATACACGAGCATATAAAATGTATCCGCTCGCCATCTGTACTATTATATTACTCATTTATAAATAGATATGTTGGACAGTTTAGTTATTTTATTTAAGCTAGTATCTGATGTAGCTATGCTTAAATAGGCTTCAACTTTCTGTCAATTAAAACTGTTTATGTAATTTGTGCCCAGAACGACTTTTAAATTAATTAGCATATCTACCATACACTTAGCTAGATTTTGGTCATCACCATTTATCCCATTTTTATAAAAGATTTGTATATTAGGTATAAATTTTTATTTTATACTTTCTAATTTTTTTATAATTAGTGTAGAATCAATGAAGGTAGTCACTATTTCGATCGAAGTTACCTTATCAACTAGTTGTTAACTCAATGTCTATACGTATTTATATAACAGTATGCATCATATGTAGTGATTGTTGATGTTATTATTATTCCATTACTGACTTTTACGGCACGGCATTTCCTTCATTTGAATTTATATAAAAATGGTTGTCATAACTAGAACTTAATTATTTTTGACTTGAAATAATATTAATTTTTAGAATTTTACAAAATAGACGTACAATGTCAGAGAATTAATACTCGTATAGTGAATGATACTGTTGCAAAAGCATGTACTGTACGTATTCAATGATGAAATATTGCTGCACAGTTGTGCCATCATGAGTTCACTATTTTACAGTTTCTGTATACTGTATTCCTAACACTAGGGAAGATGCAGTAGTCTACCTAAGTGTAATTAAATACCAATTTCCTAAATTGGAGCATCATCTGTATTTAACTGAGCTGGATTTTATAACTATTAAATGTGCCAATGTCTAATATTTTTAATACCAATCAATAAAATTTTAAATTCTAAGTTGATGTTATACATCGTTCATTTGTTGTCACAAATTAGATCATTACAACGGTAGTGGATAAGCAGTTAATGGCACGCTGTTTTTATATTTTCGAATTCATATGCAGTAGAAGTACAGTATGTCGTATCGTTCTATTAATTAAAGACAGATATGTATGATAATGTATTCACGTACAGCTTGACAAAGCATGTACCAGTGTAAGACTATGCATTGCAAGGTGCATCTAGTAGTCCATGGTAAAGTATACTATCTGCAAATTCACATACTATAGAAGTATGCCATGTCTAGCTATTCATGATACAGTACATTATATACGTGCACATACTAGCTAGGCAAAGCATCTACTGTACTGTACAGTGTGCAGTATTCTATTTGCAAATTAGCGAATCTACTGCAGTATTTTTCAAAGATGTCTTCTGCTATCTAGATTATGGGTTATTGCATAATATCTACGATCAGAGTGGAGGTACTTTAGCTAATACCCGGTTACTGTATAGCAATCGGCTGCAACGCATGATAAAAAATCAGCCTATATGCTAGCATTGCCAAGTGGTGTGTATAAACAAGATACTTAAACTAAAATCGCCTGATTAATTATTTATTTTACAATATCGCTGGTCTTGGTATCGCGGACAGCAATTTTATATATTGTTTCATTATCATGCAATCTGCATACAGTATATCTTACACTATTGTCTAATTACGAGATTGGCTAAGTGGTCTACTATTTCCTCATGCTTTCGTAAAGTTGATCACGCGCAAAGAAATGACAATCATTTATCTAACTACAAGCTACGGTTTTATTTATAATCACAGTTAATCAACACCAACCTATGCATTTCTAACTCTAGTTAAAACAAGATCTACCTTGCCATATTGGTTATACGCACGGTATGTAGCTAAGTAATTCCATGTACTTCATTAACAGTTATCAGCTAAGTTACAACATTACATAGACGCGTATAAGCTCAAACATGAATTGATCAGTTGCAGAATACAACAATCGCTTTCCATGCATATTTTGGAAATTAACACATGGGGCAACAGCGATGCTGCAATATGAGTTAATGACAAGTGTAGTTAATAAAATGTTTTCTTTTATAAACTGACTGACTAAACTAAACATCGATGTTGTCTGGTCTACACAGAATAAGCGTAAGCACTAAAACTAGCTGCACTACTTTTGTCAATGCTATCTAAACGGCAATTGAAGAAATACTACTGTGCACAATAGTTTACTTCAACAGCTTCTTTCAAGAATAAAAACAGCTAATCTTCATTACATATCTATGGATAAAATTCAGTATTGTACAACATCACGTTGTCCTGTTGAATTCTGGTACAATACTGCGGAAAGAGACGTACTATATAACATTACATAACATTAAATCTTCATTTCTTTTTAGAATAATATTTACTTGGTCTATTTTAATTTCATAGTAGAGAAGCAAATCAACTCGATAGTTTACTTTTAAACTTTACTCAGATAAATTAAAATCATCCTTGTTAAACTACCACTACAGACAACATCGAAGCTAAATCGGTATTACCACCTTTAAACTCCCACTAAGCTCACCGCATTCGGTGAAAAAGGGAACGTTAACATGGTACTAAAACGTTTTGCTCAAAATCGGTCTCTTCCTTTTTAAATTTAAGTATCTTTGTTTAGAATTATTAAATTGTTCACGCTTGATAAATCTGTACATTAAACGGCGATGTTGTACTTTTTCCAGGATCTTTTCTCCATAGTAATAGCGTAATGATCTGGACAAGTTTTCATACGTCGTAGGCTGCTTGCATTTATGAATCCCCCACGATTCTGCAAGCAATTTAGAGTCTTTGATGATAAATTCGCCATTAGCTTCATTACTCCATTTGACGAATTCCTTCGATTCTGGTGCAATTAAATTCATCAGGATATACTCCCATAAGGTTAGCGGTTGAGACGCTTCACCTGTACAACGAAAGATTGCTATAATTAATTTAAAATTATACTAAATCTTGTTCATATCATAGCTGCATTAAAGGCTTAGGGTGGCACCATAAAAGATGAGCATCAAAAGTACTAGCTAACTAACTACCTTTAAACTTCTTACGGCGACGATTATCTTTTATAGGCTTCTTGATTTCATTATTACCACCATAAATACTATCAGGCGAACTAGGACCCTCGCTTGAAGGGTCATATTCGCTAAAGTCATTTGGCGGCAAAGGATTGAAGAATGAATCTAATTGGGCGTTTAGCAATAGAAAATTGTCATCAAGAGTAGAAGTGAATCGTGTCTACGCTATTAAGCTTATCATACATTTTGTAGTAAGCAACATACCAGAAGTCGTGAAAGATGTATTTTCCATAGTATCCATGTGAAATTGAAAGCCATTGTCTGGGTATCTACGATTTTGACCAGTTACGGTATCGTTCAGATCTGTAATGACAGTGCAAGAACACTGCTATCAATTTCAATACTTGAATCATAAAATCAGCTTACAAAAGTATTGTCTAATTTGTTAATTTAACGTAGAAAATTAGTTCATGGACATATTCATTTCTAAATAAACGAGCATTTTCTGAACCTTATCAAAATAATAGTATATTGTACGGTTATTATATTGGTCTGGTATGAAGACGACAATAACAATAATAAAATCAACAGCACACACTGTACTGTATACTATACGGTATTATCATTTTTAATATTAACTTACTGTTGTATGAATCATAGCCGTGATCAGAATCGCTGTCTTGATCACTGTAATTCCATACGTTACTGCTATTTTCGGAGGAATTCTCGTCATACTGATGCAAGTGTATGTCATTTATTACTGGTGGACTATAGATCGCCATGAAATCGGTAGACGGTCGCGAAGGAGAAGGACCAATGAGTCGGTTTTGCTGTTGTGCATCTTTCCCTAAAACAACCAGTAGATAACAAATGTAAATCGTGGATGCCCATATTAATCGATAACTACAGCAAAGTACCGAGTCTGACTACTTACTTTCGACCTCGTCTATTGCCCTTAGTACCTCGTTCAAATATTCTGATAGTTGCAGTAGGTCATCATCTATCCCAAAATCAATAATCAGTTTCAATCTTTGTATGAAGCAATCCCTATTAGCAGCTTATTCTACCTAAATTGATCGTCTATCATGGTCAACTTTATAACATCAATAGAGCAGATAGTATTTACCGTTATAGACACAAGCTGCTTGTAGAATTCCTTTCATTATCTTGGGTCGATTCTCTATCCTGGCTAATCAAAGTGCTTCAATCATCCAAAAGCGATAATCCGCTTCTACCGTATCTACTCTCTTGAAAGATCAGTTTGCAAGGTTTCAAGGCAATTTTTTCAGGCCTTTTCTGTAACTTGTCTATAATGTTGGTAGTTAAGATGCGTCAAGATTGCAGTACAAAACTGCGTTTCAAAGCGATTGGATAGTCGTCGGGTTTGTTGGTTGCTTCTTCACCGTTGATCGTCTGATTGGCAAATGAAGTGTTAGCGCTGTAGGAGTGCTCTTTAAAAAGATCCTTTACAGTACAATGTATGCTGCAAGACTTTGGACTGTAAAATTGGCAAACACACCAGTACAGTACAGCGTAGGCGGTCAAGGATGTTTTCTTTTTACGTCATACTAGTACAGTATCGTATCGGTAGTGTATCAGTATGGGATTTTCCAAGGAGACAAAGAGAAGAAAGGCTAGAGTACAGTAGCCACTTTTTACAATACTTTCTATTGTATAGTATTGCTGTTGTTTTTGTGCGTTTGATACGGCCCTACCCTGCCCACGTTGCAACAAAAGACAACCTTGGCTGTCATTTCATAGCAATTTCTGAACCGAACTGTATCATACATCCGTACAACCCCATGGCCATTCTATGCGATTCAGAAAGCACGTCCACATCTGCGTACAAGCCTATTGCGCAGATACGGAACCAATCCAAGGATCAACCCCACCACAATTTTTCAACCAATAGCAGCGAATCACCATCCTCTGACGTCATTGTCCTTTTTCAAAACAATCAATGGAAACTAACCTACTACAATAGCCACGGTCCATTACCGTAATGGTCTGTTCCCGAACCGTATTGTACCGATACCGAGGACACACCACAAATGGATAACATACAATACGTGCTCTAATGTGCCACACTTGCAAGTGGCGTAGTATACACTCGTCAAAGCAGAATGCGCTCGTCAATCACTCTAGTTGACTCCTTTCTTGACGGTATTGTGTCATGATTGACACCTCGTCTGCATCACCCTTTCGTTACAGGTTTGATTACAGCTTCAACGGTATCATACAGTTTGATCGCGGCGCAATTTCTCTCTCGCTCCTTTCTTGCTATTTCCACTGGAAATGGTGAATTGAAATAGGTGCGAGTGCCAATCAACATGGGCTAAAAAAATCGAAAATGATGGTAGCCATTGCTAGGAAAAATGGGATCAGATGATTTTTCCTATAATCTAAATTGCACTGAATGAGCAAATAGAAATGAATAAGAGTTGAAAAGATTGAGGGTTTATTACAGCTGCAGTGGAATCTTGGGTGTTTCAATTTTCATGTCTGCTATGGCTAATGTCGATATTGGCCAGCATGATGGCAGTCATTGCTAATGACAAGGAAAATTCTCTTTTGATCATAGTTACTTTTTGGATAATAGTGGTTTATGAAATAAATGGATTCAATGAAGGACTACGTTTTGTTGTGGTCCATGATTGAAGGCTCAAGTTTTTTCTATTGCAGTTGCAGTGGTATTGTCTTATTCTTACTCTACGTATTGTATCGATTTTCTCTTGCTGCTATTTCAGTGAGAATTGATTTTTTTCCATGTTTACTACTTTCAAAATATCAATATGGGTCAACATGACGGCAGCTATTGCCAATTGCAAGGGAAATTCTCCGTTGATCAAAAGTTAGTTTTGATAAGGAGAAATTAAATTGGTTCAATTACCGACTGTTTTTTGGTTAGTAATGCCTGGTTAAAGTGACTGGAGCTTTATGATATTAGCTCCAAGGGTATCGTACTGTTGATCTTGTTAGGATTTCCTTCTGGCACGATTTCACTGGAAATAGTTCGTGCATGTTTGCCTCTGCCATTACAGTATATCAATATTGGCAACGTAACAGCAGCTATTGCCAATTGCAAGGGAAAATTCTCCTTTGATCAAAGTCACTTTCAATAAGGAGGAATTAAAATGGGTTAAATTCAGGACGACGTTTTATCGTTGTGCCGAGTTGAAGAGATTTTGACGTCTACAATTCCATTGCTATCGTATATACAGATATTCCATTGGTGCAATGCAAAGGATTTTTTTTTTTTTTATGTCTACCACTGCCAGTATTGACGTAGGCCATGACGGCAGTTATTGCAAATTAGAAGGGAAAATCCTCCTTGATTCAAGTTACTTCACAAGGAATAATTGAATTAGTTGAAATAAAAACTGGAGACATCAGACTTTGAAGTAATAGAGCAGATTGAATGATCGATCAACTACACAGTAATCACAAAAATCTCCACCTTGCCGTCAACATGGAGACAAAACTTTAGGGGGACTAAGTTAAGATACTTGCCTGCTGAGATAACTTCAAAGAGGACATTCATGAAAAAAGAAAGCGACCTATTAAAAATTAAAACCTAACACGTATAAACTTGTTCTTATGGATGTTTGCGTTCGTTAATAGGAAATCGCTAAATGCCCTTATTGTATACCTCAAGGAAGAAAATCCACCCACTTTGAAAAATGGATATGTACGATATGTCCCTCAATTCAAGATGTGCAATGTAGAAGAGCAAAAGAGAATAGAACATTGAAGTATCGTGTAATCATTTGATAGTTATTTCAATGTCCTATTATGTACATAGAGTTTTTAAAAATAAGTAACATTGTAAACATCATAAATAGATCCGAAAATTGATCTGATGACTACCGTAGGTAATCATTTTTTTGTTGTTTTATCCTACCGGGTTTACCCGGATGAACAAGCGTAGAAGTAAATAAAGATGCATATATACAGTCCTACAGCTTAGAGTGCAATGGAACTCCTCAACTAGTACTAGTACTAGTACTGGTGCTAAAATAAGCATGGCTCTACTTTTTTTACTAACAGTAGATACAAAAACTTGTAGGATTCAAGTTTCTTCATCTTTATTTACTAGAAAATCGATCCCTATCACATCACCATTATAAATGACCAGCGTGGACTATTACTAATAAAATGCGGAAGGTCGATGTTATGAATGTATAATATCATGTGCGTGTACGCACAAGAACAGAAAGTAATTTGCTTTTCATTACCTTGATGATGAAACTTAACGTAAATTTACCTTGTTTCAACACGTTAAGAAAAAAAAGAAATTTCTATACACAAGTCCCGAATATTGATCAATCCTTTGCAGTTCATCAACTATAAATTCACCAGAATCGCTGTAGGCTAGTTGGTATTTCAACATTTTTATATTTTCCTTGCATGTTAATATATTGGATTACAAATTCATTACCAGCAGTCTTGTTATCGCAACCATGGACTACTCAAAAAGGTCTTTTCTCAGTCTTTTTAGTAGTCCATGTCGTCGCATAAGTCTACAGCTTTAAGATATTTTATCATGACTCGATTAAAGTTATCCCTCAGTGGGAAATAGAGCAATGGCGTCGTGATTACATGCTATGAAATGGGCAAGTCCTTCAGTGCCACATAATCGAAGATAATAGTTTTAATTCAGGTTCTACTACTGGTAGTTTGGCACGTTGATGAAATGGTGTAGAAAATGTTCAAGGAAGGATACAGCAACGCAATGAGTAAGTTACAAAAAAAATCCCCTCATGACTTTATTCTTGTCATACCTCCATTTTTATTTCTGATGACCATCATGAATACAGCAGTGTATATCCAATTCTGATTAGTATCTCCAAGTCATCTAGCTCATTAAAAGTGTTGATTACCTCCTTCATGGTACCCAAACTATCGAAAAATTTTAACTCTTTGATCCACTTTATCCGTATTAGAATGATGAAAGTACGTGCATAACGATTCATGGATAAAGGCAATTAAAGAAAAATTTATTTTACCTTTCGTAATAATTCAATATAACTTATGCTAGGGGATTATTATTAAGTGTTATAAAGCAATTTTACTCGAACAGAATACGTAGACCAGACACTCTTTTCTAGTATTAACTCAATAGTTATCACCTTCCAGTCCAAATCGGTTTTGTAGCTAGTCATTTTATAAAGGTCATCTCATACAATACTATGGAAAGCAGATTGCATCTGTAGGTTATCAAAAACTCTAGTGCTATTTCTTAAATTTCTGAGGTTTAGATGCATGTTTTAAATTTCAAGTTCACTTTGGGATGAAAAGGTATAAAATGGTTGTTACTACAGCCAATATTATTGCTGTCTATGAGGTGTTAAAACTATATTATCAGGGTGAATATTGCTACTTAGATTTGGATTTAATCTTCAGCCTTTTTAGATAGCATTGAGTTCTACATTGAATTATACTGTATAATCAGCAATTTACAAGAGCTGACAGGACTGTAATCCTGGATGTATTAATGATGGCTTAAATGCTGTGAAATTTGCAATATTCCACCATAAAGCAATTAAAAGGCTATAGGAATGTTAATATTTACTGCAAGAGATAGTAGAAGGTGTCTTCCAAGATACAATATATCAACAATTGCATGAGTTCGCAACCTTCTTGATATAAAATAAATTGATCATAGCTACCCTAGATTGAAACATGGCCATTACTATGAAGCTATCAATTTAAACTACTACAGAAAGATCTTTGCCGTCTGTTATTTTCGCTTAGCCATGACAAATCTTCATATAATGTCCGAGATAGCGAGAATAGTCATAACATGGATAAGAACTTAAGCAACCTCTACAAAATAAAATTTAAACTCATTTTATTTTCTCTCTTTTCAAATAATAAGGCAGTTATGGTAATCGATTTTCTAGCCTTGTAAAGCTGCTTTTTTCAAAAATGAAGAGCACTGATCGTCTACTGTTTTTCTCGTTTGCCAAGGGCGGTCATAGGTGTATCATGTAGAAACACAAGTAGTATTTTCATCAGGATTTAAAAAGATCGTTAGTAGAAGTAATTAAAGAATTCTATATAAGAATAAAATGACAATTGTTTTAACTTTGACATCACCGGAAAATCTTTTCTTTCCTGGCGTGACGGAGTATGGAGAAGCTTTTATATTTTAATCGGCGAAACAAGGTATGGGAAAGCTTTGATACTGCTACCGGCGAAACGAAGCATGGGGAAGCTTTTATATTTTAATCGGCGAAACAAGGTATGGGAAAGCTTTGGTACTGCAACCGGCGAAACGAAGCATGGGGAAGCTTTTATTTTTAATCGGCGATAGGAAGCATGGGAAAGCTTTTATACTTTAATCGGCAAAACAAAGTATGGGAAAGCTTTTATACTTTAATCGGCAAAACGATGCATGAGAAAGCTTTTATACTTTAATCGATAAAACGATGCATGGGAAAGCTTTTATGCTTTAATCAGCAAAAGAAAGTATGGGAAAGCTTTTATACTTTAACCGACAAAATAAAGTATGGAAAGCTTTTATACATTAATCGACGAAAAGAGATATATTATCGCCAACCGATTTACTTTTCTACAGCAATAATTTGGGGTTAGAAGCGTTACAGTATAAGTTCCCATACTGCGTGAGAATTGAACAGTTGCGGTCGGAAAATTTTTCTATTAAATAGCAATAACTAAAAAAATCAATCTCCTCTCCTGTCAATTTATTCTAGTCTTCGACATTTGCCAGTATCATAAAATTAGCAATCTTTAATTTAATAAAGGCAGATAATATCACTTATTTCTTTCCATATCGCTGGCAATCTAAATTTTTTGCTTATGCTGCATAAATATCCATCGAAGTATTATTAAATCACCCAAAAGGATGCTTACATGAATTAATTACTGACTACTAAATAATTGAATTCCCAATTAATTAAAGTACCTCCTCCAAGGTGTGGTAAAAGTGGGACATAGCTCGAATTGCAGAATCATTTTTATCACTATCAGAAGATGCTAATTGATCTAGTGAAGATCTGCAATATTTTAAAACCACTACCTAGCGCTCATCAGCCTAATCGATTCTTTGCTGTCTTAACGAATTGGTGATTATCATGCAATATTTAGGCGCTAACAACATTACTATAATTTTTCTCCTGGATCCCTTATTAGGCTGTACAGTAGAATCAGTAATCTTGATAGAACTTTCTTTCTTCGTTCTACCAAATTATAAATTATCATAAGTCAATCAACCTAATTTCTGTAAGCGTTATTAATACTGATGTAATGCCAGTAGACACAAGCTACTGACCAATTTAAACTGGCAAGCAGCATGATTAAATTGCAGCTGTATGCAACAGTTTCTCCTTGCTGTTAATGAAAGTTGCTGGTTTTAGTATAAGTAAATAAGCAAGGCATGATCGCATGATTAAGTCATTTCTATAAGATACCTAAAGTTGAGAGGTAATGCCGCTATTGACATACTAAAGATGCTAAAAGAACTAATGACTAACGATTACAAGAGTAGAAAAAGATTAAATGGATTTGAACCCTTTAATGCAAATAATTTTGGACCATCCATTTTTTTTCTTGTTTAAACTCATTTTTGTAAGATACCTACAATTCAAGGATAGTATTGCCATTAGAGATGCTGAGAATACTAGAAAGATTAGTGCTTGTAGATTGCAAAAATAAAGCAGGATAAAACGAATCTATACTTTTACATTAGGGATTTCGGACAAGTAATTTTTTCCTGTTTAAAGCCATTTTTGTACGAGATGTACCGTTAAAGAATAATTTGCCATTGATTACTGAGGATACCAAAAGACTAGAGACTAACGTTTATAAGGGTAAAGAAATCCATATGAAATGGATTTGTACCCGTTAATGGCAAAAATTGGGATTAGCAGATTTCCCTGATTAAAAGTTATTTCTGCAAAATACGAATCCTAAGTTTATGGGTAGGGTTTGCAATGTTGCAGGCTGGTAGACTAGTCTTTAACAGCGACAGAGTAGAAAAACGTGGGATTGATTTATTTTCTTGAATCTTTTCTCTTTTTAAATCGTTTTAGCAAGATATCTTTAGTTTACAGAAATTAAATATTGTAAGGGTAGAGGAGTACGGAATTATCTTCTCTTCTTTAGAACAGATTAACTCTAACCACAAGCTCGAAAAATGATGCAGATGAATCAGTTTTTCTCTCTTTAAATCATTTCTATAAGACATCTACAGTTTAGGCTCAATATTGCTATTAAGATGCTGAGGATGCTAGAAATACGAATGACTAACGATTAGACAATTATGTAACGGATTTGTACAGAGTAATTCTAATTACCATTATAGAAAAGGATATTAGCAAGAAAATTTTCTTATTTTAATCATTTCTGCAAGATATCATAAATTTAAGGGTAACATTATTTCTGAAATGTTTGAAATATTTCAACGCTAGATTAATGACTGAACATAGCAGGGTAAAGGAGCGCAAAATTAATTTATCTTCATTAAGAACAGATTTGACTCTGATTATTAGTCCAGAAACGATGTCGATAAATAAATTTTTCTCCTTTTAATCAGTTCAGTAAGATATTTTTGGTTTTAATTGAATATTACAAGAGTTGCAGAGCGCAAAATTGACTTATGTTCATGTTGAGATATCTGTTAACAAAGTTCCATCATAAAATCGAATGATAAGGAACATTTAAATATAACTCGTTAAAAAACGAAGAACAGTGATTTCTGCTAGATTGAATGTTGCTTTCGCCTAGACTTTAATGCTTTACACAAATAGATGGCTGAACACCATATGGAATGTTGGAGAAAATGAACACAGCCAGTGAATTGAACACTTTGCAGTCATTAACTCTAGTAAAAATATATTTTAATACTGCTTAGAGTATTTCCTATACATGAATAAATTACAGTTACTGAATAGTAGAACTTGATTGATATAGGAATACAATCCTTAAAGTTGCAGTCTATCGAAGAGTTAATGATTTCAGATAAAATTTCTATCAGAATCAGCTACTGAAGTAGAGATTGCTTAGTTTTCAGTAAAATATCGAACTGAAAACTCATGGCAGTTGTGATTGACGATTTTCAATTTGACTCTTAACTCTAATCTGTTTGCTAGAAAATCAAATTGAAAAGCTAAACACTTCACTTTATAGCGAATCCATCATATTATTAGAGCACTTTGGCTAAATGATAATAAATATCATCATTTTAATATTTCAATGTTTTTTATTCGTTATTCTCGAGATCAAGACCAAAAAGAAAGAAATTTTACTTCTGCCATAGCCATTTCAATATCCAACTTGAAGTAATATGTCTTAGTAATGGTGACAATAATATTTAAAATTTAGCTTATGCTGCATTGACTATCAAAGTTTTTAATATTATACAGACACAAGCATTACCTTAAATCCTGCAATCGAAATTTTATCGTGTAGTCTAAACCGATATTAATTTTACACTTTAACTGAAAATTGTCATAGCAGTTTGGCTACAATATCAACCGTCAGAATATGAGCTGTTAAAAATTGCATCTACTTATGTTGCTATTCGCTTATTGTATCATTAAAACCATATCGATAGAATACTTCACGTTCTAAACTAAGCCAATTTTAATATTATGCTTTAACTAAAAATTGTGGTAACGTTTTGGTTATAATATCAACCGTCAGAATATGAGCTTTAAAAATTGCAATTACTTATGTTGCTATTTGCTTACTGTATTGTAATATTAAAGCCATATAGATAGATTATTTCACGTTGTAAACTAAACCAATTTTAATATTACAGTTTAAGTAAAATATTATTGCATTGATAAATACAATAAAGAAGAATTGGCATTGATGTCGTATTTTGTTACTTAAAATGGTGTAAAATAACAAGCATAAAAGACTTTTATTATCGATGTCTATTTCGGAACGAAGGATTACCTCTACTATTTCATTTTTAGGTAACGACTACATTAATCGTCTTATACGTATAATTAAACGAATAAACCAAATTCTAAGTTAGATGATGGTTGTAAATGACTTAACTTTAGTCAGACCTACATCTAAATAAAATATTAGACCAACCATAGCCTTGAAAGGATAACTACACTAATAACTGCATAGTATTATTTCATGATTTGATCAAGTTCTACCTTAGGTGATTACAACAAAACTAGGGATACCTGATCATGAATTAATTACACTAATGATAAATGCTTCCGCCATTCTATCGGTCATTGAATGATGGTTAAATATCAATTTGACCTTGATAGGACATGAAGCAAAAGACACGAAAAGTGCCATCAAAGTAGAGCCAACTTAATTGGCAACGGTTGCCTTCACTGAAGGCTTGAAAAGCAATAAAGGGTAAAGAAACCCTAAAATGAAGAGAACACTCGACGGGAATGTCTCGTAAAGAAGAAAAGTATTTGACATGAATCAAATTCTTTTCAAGCAAAATTCCTCGATGAAAGCTTTGACCGCCTCCATGTTAACAAATTGGTATACCAATCGTTGCTTAGGAACTTTGCGTAGTATTTGGCTTTTATAGTAAAAGCGAATCGATCGACTTAATGTTTCATAGGTCATGTTGGGCTTGTTTTTATGTTTTCCCCAAAGGGAAGCGACTGCACTCGAGTTGATAAATTTAAAGGTGCCTTTCTTTTTCTCTAACCACATAATTTGGCTGTCATGTTCACCAGAAAGCAGCATTTTCAGTAGAAATTTCCATAGGATTTTCGAGCGTGACCCAGGCTTCCCTATAGATTAAAAATTAGAACAGAAAATTTAGAGAAATGATAGAATTGATGGCTTGAATGGAAAATAAGAGTGACTTCATTTTCAGGGAAAATAACAGTTAATCTTTATTTCCATATCTAGCTATCAATTTCAATAAATATCTACGAAAAATTTCATGGTTTGGCCAATAACGAGTGAAAGTTATATGTTGCCATGATCTCTATTAATTATTAGACTAAAATTTGAAGAGTTTTGACAGTAAAGTTGTCAATTTTCTTTTACTTGGATATCAAGGAGTGTTATACGCTTACATAGCCTAGTTCTTCGGGATTCTTAAAATAATACGGATAAAGTATCTATAATTAAATCTTTGCTATATCTTGGACAGCCTTATAATAAATCTAATTCTCTAAATACAAATGACTGTGAATCGACATGTGAGAATAAAGTACAGTACATTTTTTAATGGAATTAATTGCAATGCAGCTTGGACAGTTTTTGAATCAAGTCTGATTCCTTCGCAGTTCTTAAAAAATATAAATAAAGTGTCTTCTAATGAGGTTTCTGCTATATCTTGAACAGCCTATTAATCATGCAAAATCGTGGAGTAACTACGATCCAGTATTTGTAAATAAAATAGATTTTCTAATAATATTTATGAGGTGGCTTGGATAGCTTCAAGTAAGATCTAATTCTTCATGATTTTAAAAATGTGGTCTAAAAACAATGATGATTTGACAACATAGTAAAGGATCGACTATAATACTATCCTAGGTCAAATTTAGAACTTATCGCTATCAATTAATGACTAGTGTATTTTGATTCTTTGAATAATGAAAAGTCTATATTTCATTTATGCAATTAAAATTTATATATATACAGTAAATTAATCATTATTAAAAAATAGATTGGAGGATCAAGTAGATTGATGTTCTACATTAAGTTACTCGTATGATATCATTTCGATGATCGCTCGATATGAGTGATTTAAATTGAGTGAAAAAGCAATTGCGTTGTTCATATCCATTATATCTTACCTTTTCCACCAGTCCGACGCTTGCAATGATAGCTTGATTTTCGAATCAGTTTACCTCTAGTGAAAGTCCGTTTGGTCAATCGCTTTTTGGATAAATCACAAGCTATGAGTATATATAGATATCATGAATAGACTGAGTTAGTTGAATGAAGAAACTGAAATTCCTTCTATATACATTAATGTGATCGATGATAAGATTGAGGATGTGATGTTTGGCCTTTCATGAGTTGTGAAAATATAATAAATTTAAACTTACCGATTGTCTTCACAGATTCATTACCACAACATGGAATGGGTGGATAATTACAGACATTGGACATTTCCTGTGATGGACTAAAATTATTACCAGGCATCCATTGCGATTTTATTGTTGGATGGTTATAATTTGATACAGCATTATAACCACCTGTATCGGAAGATGGTGAGTTTTCACGATAGCTGACTGGACTTGCTGGATATGCATCATGAGATGGATATTTACCATAGCGAATTCGAGGCACAGCCTGCTGATTGATCATCACTTGTGGATCATAAGAAGGTGCGTTATAATGTTGCTGCACCATTGGCACTGGATTCTCTACAATTAATACAGGTAGGTGGATGAATTAAATCTCCTGAGATAGCATTACTGATGAGAACATCGAGAAAATGTCGATGTCGTTCTATTTGTCTATATGTTATATGTTGTCGAATGTAAGTTTGAATCTTACGTTGTGATCTTTTATCTTCATAATCGATCGGTTGATTTCCGACTTGGTATTGCTCAGTCATCATTTCACTCCCCGAAGTTGGTAAAACATTATAATGATCTTCAGGAGACTGCGGGTATTGAGCTGAAATAGAATCAGAGACTAAAATTAGAATAAATATCGAGTGTTCTGGGTTAATTATTATTTGACAAAAAACGCAACGGTTCAGTTGCAATAAACTAGTAGGGAAGTAAATGTAGCTTATATAAGTCGAAATAAAACGATTCTTCTAGTCTCATTTTCATTCATTTTACAGAATTGAAATACAACTTTGTAGCTTTTATAGTGGCTGAAAATTATTATAAAATGGATAAAACAGTTTTTAATATTAGAAGTAATCATGTTTATAGTCTGTTCAGTTTAGAGGATACTAATTAATACATTATCTGCAGAAGAATTATCTCAGTTCTGCCTTTTATCTATTTGTTTTACTAAAGTTTTGCATTTATATAGAGATGAATGAAATGGTAGACTATCATTTATAGTAAACAGAAAATTTTAAACCAAATCGTTGCCACTGGCACTTGCTTTCGTCGCACAATTTGGTAATAGAACTATGCTCTAATAATGTATAAGGATATCTATTAGGGCAAAGTTAACTTATTTGATATCCTGAAAGTGTTAAAATTTCTCTGCAACAGCTATCCCAGAGACTATTATCTCATAACTAATGGTTAGAAATTGATTTTAAAAAAGCTTTCTAAAATGAATGCGTATATATATGCATCGTCACAAATTAGAATTTCGTCTTTTTACCACGCTAATTAAGACTTTATTTTAGATGCGTTACAGATTATTGACAAACTAAGTTACTTTCTAATTTATGTTTGTGGTAAAATAATTTAAAATACTCCAAAATACAAAATACTTTTAGTGCCTCATGCAGCGATGTTGCCATGCCTATTGCAATGGCCAGATAATAAATGCAACATTATAAATTTTTGACTAGAAGTTAAATAGGAAAGGAATATGATGACTAAGAATGAGGTCATGCAATGCCGTCATTAGTGTAATAAAATTCTCATGGGACATGAAGCAAAGCACATTTTATAATATTATTTAAAAAATAGAGCCAAGCTAAAAATTAATTAGGTAATAAGAAGAAATCTGTAGTAACTTACCATCATATTGGTCAAAGAATGCTTCCAGAAGTAAATCACCAGATTCATCGTGATTTACCACGTTTTGCTGCGGCATGACATCATAGGGACGATTTGCGTGATATTGAATATGTTGTTGATGCTAAAAATTAAAATTATCGCGGTAGAGTTAGGTTGCAAAAGAACAGAGAAGTAAATTAATGAGTCAAGGTTTTCACTGTTAGATTTTTAAAATTCTAATTAGGATCATTACCGTAATTAATAAAGAGCAATCCTAATATTAGAACGATAAAGATCAAGTTTTAAACAAGCCGTCATGCATTGCGAAATATCGTTTGGAATGGAATGATTTTACTTATCTGATTTAATGACGCGTTAACGTTCTAATTACATTAGATGAGATGGATATTAGTTGAATATTACTAGGTTAAATTCTGAATCTAATGTAACATTCTTAGTCTTACGATCTAGAAATTTTTATTGGCTGCAGTTTATGCCTTCGTGGTTGTTAGTCTAAGACTTCGTAATTAATTTATAGTATTTATGCATTATTACGACTTACTATTCTACTGTATTAATTCTTCGTCATGTTTATGCCATTGGTGTAGAGAATTCATGGTAGTATTAATTTAAACGATTCTATTTATAGCCGGTGTCTGTATTGCTAGCATACAACAATAGTTTGAATAAGTTAAGGAAGTAACTTAAAGAAAGGATTCATTCAGTAGTTCCGATTATGGAATGCTCATAATTACGTGATGATAAACATATGCGTATTAGGAAGTTTCAGCATACTACTACGAGAAATAAAAGAGCTAATTGGTAATTTTATGCTTGAAGTAGTTGAAATAAACCATAAAAATTATCCTAAAAATCATCAAGTTACCTCGGGGATGCACTGGTTATAAGTATCATAAGAATAAATGACATCCATTCTTTTTGCCTTCAATATAGCTTATGTTTTTAGACCTGTAGAAATATCCTAAAATAGTTTAAGTAAAGCAAAGTTTAAGATCGTGAATGAAAATAATCATTTCTTCAACTAGTATGTAATATAGGAAATCATAAAATTCATTTTGGTAGAGAATTATTTCTTAGTAAATTAGGAATAGCTATCTCATAAACGAATCGCATCTACTGCCATATCAAGATTATTGTTCTTTCCACATATAACGATTAATTGATTTTGGATAACAGATAAAAATTACTAGCTGTTTGCTATTTCACCAATGCAGTTACTCAACAGTAGTGGCACATGTTGATTCATTCCTATATTAGGAAAACTAATCATCATTTAGCTAGCCATGCAGACGAAATAACTTGATTAAAGAAGCTTGCCTTAGTATTCGTTAATCTTGAAGTTCAACTTAAGATATATTGTATACAATGAATTATTTAATTTGACATGGAGATGAGTACTCCGTAGCAACATAGAAGTTGATATAGTTGTTTAGGTCATGAGATGAACCACATTTTTTATAAAAGTTTGCAAGTTAATAGTGAATGCACGTTGCTTAAAGAATGCAAGAAAAAAGTGAGAATTGATATCACCAATCCCAGGTTGGTTACCCAGTTCAATTATCGTCCACGTGGACATTAAAGTCCGCCGAAGTTCAATTGCAATATCAGTATTAAACCATCTTTTCTACAAAAATATACTGGAAAAATATGCTGTAACTGAGATAGTGCGATGTAGATTACTTTGAAAGGTACCGTATAAAATGTAGCCATAACATAACTGTCTATCCGAGTCGATGTGATGGGTAATGATTCATCATAGCTATCACCCAGCCTATTAATTAGCTCGACAGGGCATCTTCCTGCCTTAAACTAATTACAGCAATCAGCACATTAGCTTGATAGAAATTAAAAAAAACGGAATCGATTGAAATTATGGATAAGGTAAATTATCCACAAAGATCCTCAATTCTACTGGATCTTTTGCAAAGCAAACTATGGCAAAGTAATCGTGATCATCAAAATTTAATGGATCGTTAACTTACTGCCTCTTATTTACCCTATTTTATCAAAGACTACAAGAATAAAACTATAATCTAGTTTATACAAGATGGAACAAGGAACTGAAATATCCATGTCAAAACAGGAAAG